TCCTCAAATAACAACTTCATTTTAAAATTGAATTTTTCACCACTGGGAATTAAATAGAATACAATCATTCTCAAGCATATAATACAACACATGGCAAACCCCTCTGTTTAGTTTTGGCTTGATTGAATTTAGTTTAGGTTAATTGGCAGGGAAACTTCATTTTAAATGCACTCAATTGCTAAAAGCGTAAAAATGCAATTTCAATATGCAAATTTTATTTGACTAGTACTTTCGTATCATTTTTGATTGTATGAATTAATTAATAGACATAATTATAACTGGAAATTTAAGGAGCTCCTGTTTCTTGCAACAAGTTTACACAAAAATAAAATTACAAAGCACAATGTCTTCTGCACAATTACCGACAAAAGTTACATTTTTATTTTTGTAAGCACAGGTATAAGTGTATCATGTAATACAATCAAAATTTATACTTCAATTACAATGTATTATTGCCACTTACGTTAGGAAAAGTAAAAGAGGTATGTTACAAAAATGTCTGAACATATGCGAATGGAGACACATTTAATTGTATAGTGTGGATAAAGTATGGCATAAAATTATCAATACTACCAGCAATAATATTTACATGAAATTTTCCATTCCATATCAGATGTAGTTGTTTGATCTATCTCCATCGTAGGACGCAACTGCTTTCGTCGTCTATATCTTGGTATTCTTGGAAGATCAACAGTGGAATCAACTGCACATCGTTTGTATTGTCCTCTTGAACCCATAAGAAAAGCTTAAATTGCAAAACCGCAAATACAAGAATTTATTTTCATCAAAACGCTAAATTTTGACAAATTTTGAACAATATTCATTACAGACTGCTCTCGACGAAAGCAGCGTTTTTTCAAATCAGCGGTGAAATTGCTACAATTAATACTTACCGCCCTTACCACAGTAGCATCAATGCTGAGCTGACATCACCAAGGTGACAAAGCAAAATTCGTTGCCACTCAAGTAATCAAGTTCAAGATGTCCTCAGTGTTTTGCATCTTGCTGTTGTGAAAAGGTGACCAATTGTGAAAGTTAAGAACATTTGACAACGAATCCTGGTTCTTTACCCACGAAATAATTGTCAAGTGGCCCATAAACTTCAATGCAGCGAAACGAAAAATGCGAAAAAAATTGATGTAGATACAACCAAAAAAGAAAGCGAAAGATATCCAGCAAGAATTGTAAAATTTGGAGGTTGGCGTTTGATTTTTATTTTTGAAATGCCACTGCAAAAATATAAATTTAAAACGTATAAATATTTCGAATAATCGTTTCTGTATAAACTAAATTTATAAAAAATGGAAGTGACAATATGGCGGACACTTACTTTTTTAAAAAAACGTTGCTGGATTTATACCATTATTTGTCAAGAGAATGCGTATCTATACTTTCTCTCAAAGTTTCTGATTATAAAAACTATAAAAATCGAAGTATTCTACATTTTATTAGTAGATGACTATGCCTCCATGGATTCATGCTTAGAGATGTATCTGAAAAGTGGGAAAGCTTCAACTCCTAAAAGAGGAAAACGTCAAAGAATCTTACAAAAGAAATATAAATACCATTCCAACTCCGATAAGCAGGATCATGAAGTCCAGTTTGGTTCACATATAAATATAAAAGTATGTTTTCTAATCGTGATTGGAGATTACAATCATTTTGGTATCACTTTTGTATTGGATTCTAGCTTTTGTAGAAACTGCTAAATATTGTACTAAAAGGGCGTTACTGTCTATATGATGGTTTTTATTTAGCCTTCTTTCAAGAAAAGAAAAGTCCAGAAAGATAGTTCAAAGAAAAACTCCTTATATTCCATGGTTAAAGAAAAATATAAACAAACAGAGGTATTTATATCGTATTAATTACTTGAGGCTTTATTATTATTAATATGTCCCGAGGAGTAAAAGATTATGGACCGGTTGTTTTTTAAAGGGAAATAGCTTAAAGTTAAAAATTAACTTAGGGTTTGTTTTGTTAACATAAAGTTAGCTAATCCTGGGTTACAATTGTGTTTTTTAAAGTAGGGTTCAAGCACTGGTTTAACTAACTCTGAGTTAAGACATTTAACCTTGGGTTAAAAAGCCGCAACTCCAAAAAGGTCAATTAACAATGTGTTCAATCAAATCAACCAATCGCAGACGAGAAGCCAGCTGGCAAAAAAGTTGTTTTTCCTTACTTTTATCCATTAAGTAATGAGGTATTTGCCGGTTGCCAGTCTCCCTTAAATTTGCGCGGTTTTTGCAATGCATTCTAGAATCGTTAGGGGGCAAACATTTCTTCAGAAATTTATCGGTATTAGTGATATTTTTGAGAATTCTCAATTCAAGGCACCTATTTCCATTATAATAGCTATTCGTTGTAATGGGTATTCGTTACTAGTTGGGAGAAAAGAAGTAAAAGTATGTGGAGACGGCAATTGCTTTAATCGAGCAGTTGCGTTGGCTAAAACGGTAAAGCGACGAAAACTTTGCTCACATTCGAGAAATGTGTAACGATGTTTTGATACAAAATCCAGCTACTTTTCGACCGTATTTATTTCGATACGAATCGATGGAAAAGCATCTGGAGCGAAGCATTATGTCCGGTACGTGGGGAGAAACAGTGGATATGTACGCTTGTGCCACGGCCTTGGAGCATGAAATTTTTGTTTATGCTATGCTTGAGTAGAAATGGTTTTATTTCACTCCTCCACTAGTGCTACATCCATTCTTAAAATATGATCGAATCTGTGATTGTCCAATCACTTTGGTCTTGTATAACTTTCACAGAGCTGCTTGCCATTTCAATCTTTTGCAACCTATCAATAGTTGTTGTCTCGCCCCAATACCCGCCAATGAATCCCAACCACCTGTGTTGGTTGATCTTGAACTTAAGGAAGAACCATCTCTTTCTAATGACCAATCATCTCCACTCAAAACTAGAACTGTACCTTGTCCATCAAAACCTAAAACATTATCCCGCAAATCCAAACCAAAAAACACATCTTGTCTATCTAAACATAAAACCATATTTTGTAAAACCAAACAAGAAAAGCTTGAAAATGAAAACATTGCAAAGAATGTTGACATTAGTACAGTTGTCATGGATGGGAACTTCACCAGAGAAATAATTTCAAAGACTGGAAAGTTAAAGATTTGAAACAGTATATCAGTGATCGTGGTGTAATAACTACAAACTATTTAAAATCCGAACTCATAAAGTTAGCAGAAGCCACCAAGCAAAACTATCAATTGATTCTGATTTGAAATATAATTTGTTTTGAGACTGCCATTTTGTTTTGAGACTGCAGTTATTGCCGCCTGCTGTTTGTGAGAGACAGTGTGAGAGATCCTTTGCACCTTTTCTCGGTGTCTTATTCTCGATAGGTTATCTTTGTTGAAATATTCTCGATAGGTTATTTTTTTGTTGAAATATTCTCGATAGGTTATTTTTTTGTTGAAATATTCTCGATAATAGGTTATTTTTTTGTTGAAATATTCTCGATAGGTTATTTTTTTGTTGAAATATTCTCGATAGGTTATTTATTTGTTGAAATATTCTCGATAGCTTATTTTTTGTTGAAACATTCTGGGTAGTAAAATTTCTCGAAACAGAGTTTTCAATCTTTCAAAACTCGACCATGTTGCAGGTGATTCTCGGTGGCACATTTGCGACTGGTTACCCTCTTTTAAATCTATACCCTTTTGGCCGGAACGGCTTTCCATAAGTATGGGTATGTTTAAAAACGAATTGAGTTCATAATTGAAAGTGTATGTTTATGTATGTAATACGCTTGCAGCCGTGGATGACATGAATGCCGAAGAAATTGGTATGTGATCAATCATTTCATTGGATTTTTGTTTACTTTTTCTTTTCATCATTAAAGTGCTTATATTACGAATTTTAGCCCCCCTTTTTTATTAGCTAAATTGAAAGACCTTGTTTCAGTGATTTCAAATCTGCAATTATAATTGAAATTGGATTGGTGAAAGTGATTTTACGGACGTTCAAAGTCATGATTTTCAGCATTTTTTTTGCGAATATTTTGATCGGTATGCTAATGACTTGTGACGTAGAAAGTTGAACACATATATCAACATGGCGTATTCTACTAGTAATCTTAATAAGAAACGCGGAGAAAAACGCTGTGTTGCCGGCGGACCTAATCAAATTAGTTGCGCCAATGATTCAAAAACCGAAGGAATGTCGATGCCTCTGTTTCCTAAAAAAGAAACAGAGCCGCAAAGACATAGAAAATGGGTAAATTTTGTGCGTAAACATAGACCGGATTTTGAGGCTTCCTCTACCTCGTGTCTGTGTTCTGCGCGTTTTGAAGATTCTTGTTTTGACCTTAATTTGAGCGTGCAAGTCAAGCTCAAAAGAAGGTTGAAGAAAGATGCTATCCCAACCATTGACGTGGCTGGGATTCTTGAACCATTACAGGACGAAATAACCGATCGAAAGCGAAGACAAGTAAGTTTACGCTTGTTTATGTAAATTTTTTTTTTGTCATATGTAAATTCGATATAAGTTTTGTAGATTATTCGACATACTCTCCATAAGCCATCGCTGAAGGAAACATGTTTTCTCGATGAGGAGGTACCATTTACTAGTGATGGAGCTGAGCATGTTGAAGTATGCACTGGGGAAGCAAACGATTCGCCATTTGAAGAAGAACTACATGCAGTTGGTGAAGATATTTGTGAATCCCAGTCTCCATGTAAATCGTGCCATCGTCTTAAGAAAAAACTTACATCTTTACAAAAGACTTTAAGCTGGTATAAAAAGACAAAAGCATCTTTGAAGAAAAAGGCCCAGAAGTTGCAAAATGAATATCGAAGCGAAATCAGGGAAAATCGTAATACATCCGTGGTGACCAGCATTAATATAGACGATGGAGTGCAGGGGAGTGCTGAAGAGCTTTTCGAAGGAGAATCATACATGGACTACTCCTCTTTTGAAGAGTCTAGTCAGAGTGAAGATTTAGATGAAGCTACCACAAGTAATACAGTCAGGTATTTTATCTTATAAAGAATTAGATCTCTGTTGTATTTCATAATAAGGAATTTTCTTAATCGTGTTACAGAATTGATGAAGGAGTAAGCTCGCATGAACAACCTATGTTCATGGTATTTTACATCTCATTGGTTGAGTTATTTGAAAAATTTTGCTTTAACTGCAAGGCTGAAAATCCAAAAGTACACATTAAAAACATTGGTTCGATGGCCATTGTAGAGCAAAATTGTGGTAAATGTGTTGAAAAGAACTTTATGTGGTAAACACAAGCAGGTAAAGGCCAAGTATTCTCCCATCTCATAGACCCACTAAAACAATCGCATCAACCATCTGTATGCAACAGCTCTCAAGTACCTGAAGTAAATAAAAAGTTGGACTAATTATTGTTGATGAAACAATGTTGATGATAACATTGTTTCTCATACAATTTACAATCTTACATATTTAATGATTGTGATGCTTGGCGGCGATAAGCACGTCCATTCCTATCTCTCAATAGTGGCCCAACGTTTTCAAGGACAGCCTCATGAACTAAAGGCCCAAATTTGGCATGCTGTGTTATGCATGATATTTTCTCAATGCTGCCATCGAATGTCATTTTCTGCAAAGCTGGTCCTATTTCCTTACAGCATCTGTACTCTAATGCGCCTTCTAACAAATCGGTATGACAGCATTGACAATTACACCTGAAACGTGGGAGCATTGTGGTTTATAAAGTAACATTATGTATATTACAAACAGGAGAAAAGAACAACTTCCCATTCACCGAGTGGAATTACGTCATCACTTCGTTGTTCTAATGTCGCAGGGAGAATTCCATCGGGATCATCTGGAGTATGCACTTCATGTTTTGTAATACTTTTCTAAAAGAATTAAATAGATTATATTTCTTTTGTCACTTGCCAAACAAATTACATTTTGTTAAAATGCACATAGTAAAACTGCTTTAGCAACATCCTGTTATGATAATGACACCAGACAAAATGAACTCAACATTTAAGTACTAAATATTCATTTTTACTATTTTATTTTGAGAAAGATATTCATTTTCATATTTCATTTTCATCGATGTAAAGATAATCAAAGTTTCTTTATTGAGGTTTTTCTTCGTATAACAGCGTTTTTATCCAATTCAATTCCACACACGGAAACAATTATTTGAGTATATAACTTCATTCTCTTTTCCCATAATAATGTGTTTGATTGTGTGCATATTTATAGCATTTCGCAATTTGCATTGATTGAGTGATTGCGGGGAAATCAGGAGGGAGTGAATAATAAAAATATTTTTTCAAGTGCAAGTTTTTCATCCAAAATTTCCTATTCGCCGCCATGATTTTGATAACCAGTTCTAAACCTCTTTTCCCCTCCAGGGAAAACCAAGGACTTTCTCCAAAGCAGACATATCGGGAAAGATGGCCTTGGTACTTCCAGCTCAGCAGTTGAAGGAAAGCAATATCCAAGCAATAAATCCTGGTTAGAAGGACATCCGTTGTATATAACTTTCATTCGGAGGATATCGATGTGAATCTTCAAATGATCAACAGAGGACTTGGAACTACTTCAGCACGCGAAGATGATAGAGCTGGGCTTGGATAAAGATGATCCTTCCTGTTGTTAAGTATACCACCGAAAAAAATGGCGCTTCATTGCCGACGAAAACTCATGGGACAGAAAAGACCTGCACGTTGTTGATCCAGCTTTTGGAAAAATTTTGCGGTGAACTTTTGTTGTGCCACTCTTGGACACAGAGAAGACTTGGAAGATGTGGGGGTCATAATAACACCACGTGAAGTTTATTCAGGATCCAGGGATTGACCAGTTGTACACACAAACTGGAACTTTCGACAGAGGTGGAAATGCAAGATGAAAACTATCTCATTAAATTGATTCATAGTTTTGTATTCGTAATTCTCTTTTAACTTTAGGTGCTATTGGTTCAATTGATACTGAATCGTTTTGTTTTCAGGTTCAACTAATGTGACGATCTGATCCTGACGATACGAAATTTGCTGCGTTGGAAAACTATGCGTTGTCTAGTCTGTCAATGCATACTAGTAATGCCGTCGCTGAGCGTTTGTATAGTACAGCGACATTTATCGAAAATAGGCTGCAACCAAATGTCTTTCAAGACGTTTAATCCGGACAACTTTGTACTTTCTGTTAAAGTTCTGAAAAGATTTTTCTGTCACCGAAAGAATGTTTCAGCTGTTCAGAACAGAAAATATGCATCAGTTTGATAAAGAACGAAACCGAAACACAAACCCGTGCTCTAAAGGACAGGAAAATGACTGCAAACTGCTACCGTTGTTTGATGATGTGTAGATGGCACCAGTGTTACGTAACCTAAGCTTGTAAGTGATATCGTTATCATTAATGTTAATAAACCTATTTGGTTAAGATTGTGGGTTTTTTGAATTGGTCCTTTCAAGTCGTGTTGTTAAAAATATGAATTAAAAAATGTGATAAAAAAACAAATAATAAAAGCTATAAGATTATATTTTCGCAGTTTTCTCATGAAATACCAGTGCTCAAGCAAATTGGGCATCATTTTCCACCATGTTTGGCTTTACAATAGATTATAGATCAGACGATTTTTAGTAAGCAAGCCTTCCATGTATGATGTATGTAATTAGAAGGAAATTGCCAGTAAATACCTTCACTCGCAGACAGGAACATTCCTCCAAGAATTCGACGTTAAATATGATAAGGATACAGATGAGGACATGAATGAAAAAGGATTCCTACAGCTTCTTTGGTGACAAACATTGGCAATTTGAAAAGCAGCATGAAAAATCTTGGCTTGGAAATTGAGCACATAATTTGTCAGATTGTCAGGCATTTACAAATCACAATCCCAAAGCTCGCTGACAATAGGAGTGATTTTCATAAGCGAATAATAATTTTATTGCTTCCGCGCGTTATTTTGTACTTTCAGTCATAAATAGGAGATATGTTAATCAGGGAGGAAGGGAGAGAAGGTAAGAAACACTCTGTTAACATATACAAAAGTATTGGGGAAGTTTGTTACTATTTAGTTTATTTACTTAAAACAGTCCGCGTGGTAAGGTCATAAAGTTCAAAGTTAATTGCAGACGCTGCAAGAGCAAACAATTAGTTGTATTCTGTCCACATACACAGGGGATAGCATCATGGGTAATCCACAAACAAATCCCATGTCATTCAGCAAGTATCACAAAAAATCCACCCTTCCGTCCCTCCCTTTCTCTCTGTCGATTTTGAATGTACTAATTTAGGCTTGTGGCGGCGTTTTTATTACCCCACCTTTTCTGTGCTATACAGAAAAACTTTCTCCTTAAAGATAAACTGTGTAAAGTAATTACTGTAAACTATTTTTTAATTTTATTAAACCGGCATGTGCTTTAACACAATGCGAATTTTTATTCCAAAGAGAGTACTTATTCATATTCTTTAATGCGCACAGAAAACAGAGCTCATCAGCCTCAGAACCTCCTTTAGATCCTGATTTTACTACAGCGGAAGCAATAAACAATGAATTTTCGGCATTTTGGATGACGAATGTTCGAGTTGATTTCGGCCAAATATTGATTAGTGTCCAAATTGCATGTAAAGGAAGTGGCCACTGGGAAATATCAACAGAACTTGTTGATAGCTAAAAGGGTGGTGTACCTCCTCCTGATATTCTCTACACAGATCGTGACTGCTGTGGTGCTCAGGGCATCAGGGCTTTCTGCCCACATCGGGATGCTATATGTGTTAGACTACACGGATGGCATTTCATGAGATAAGCTAAAGGTGTTACCACGGAGGGACATCCGTTGTATGAAACTCTCATGGGGAGGATATCCAAGTGCATCTTTGAATGGTCAATGCAGCCAGGCTTGGGTAAAGATTTTTTTGTCATTAAGTCAATCACCAAAAAAAAAATGGTGCTTCAATGCTGAAGAATGAGATGGAAAAGACCTGCATGTTGTTGTTTCAGCTTTTGGAAACGTTCTGCAGTGAACTTTAGTTGCGGCACTCTTGGACATAGAAGACTAGGAAGATGTGGAAGTCATAATGACACAATGTGAAGTGCATTCGTGATCCAGGGATTGTCTCGTTGTGCACACGAACTGGGACTTTGGTCGAAGGTGGTAATGCAAGATAGAAATTGTCTCATAAAATTGATTCATGTTTTTGTATTTAAAATTTTCTTTCAACATTAGGTGGTGTTATTGTCTGCTGCTAATAGCTCAACATATCTCGAGCCTTTTCACAACACTTGAATGTAAGTTTGTGCCAGGTAAGATAGGAGTAACGCGTCTCTTAATTTTGAAACAACACATCGAACGCTATGATAATAATAAGTATATAATTTTGTGTGTATTTAAAGATTTTACCGCAAATGACGTTTAAATCCAGGTCAACGATTTGGAGGGATTGCTCAAAGATCGAGGGATTGGAACAAAGATCGAGGCACATGAGTTGTTGAAAAAGGAAGTACTAAGATAACCTGTTTTCACGTTAAGTTCTGATTAAATTTTATGGTCACTAAATACAGGTGTTCTTATAATGTATTAATGTATAAAGGGTTTTACATTTCAAGCCTACCTATTGGAGGGTTTAGCAAGGTGAAATAAGGATAGGTTAGCAAGAGCTGCAACTGATGTTCTGAACATAATCTGGTTCGTTGTTATTATCTCCCAACGATTTAAGCGTAAGATTGTATGTGATCATAATAAAGCGCGTGCGAGAATCATAAGTTTATATTGGTGAACTGACTGGTGTCGTCCATCACATGCGGAAATTACTTGAGAAGTGTAAACACAGGCAGTATTTTGGCAATTGGTTTTGTAAGGAAACTGATAAACAAAGCTTCGAATCCTGGGTAGAAAATTTGAGGAAGAAAAGAAAATACAAGAGCAAAATTTGACTTTACTTCAATGTTTGTTTTATTTTCAAATTATTTTATTTCATTTCATTTAAATTTATTTTCATTTTAACTTATTTTATTTTTAAACTTATTTTAATTTCATATTAATTTTAATTTCAATTGCGCCCGCTTATGTCCGATTACACCTGCATGTGTAATGATAGGAAAAGCATGCTCTTTATCATTTCTTTTCTCGTATCTTTCTACCGAAATGCACTTGACTTTTTTCTTTTTCTGTTAGACCTTGTTTGCGCAGGTGCAGAAAAAAGGAATGCTCTCCGACATGTAGCCCATATGCCCACGGTAGTTCTCTGTATAAGTCTTCCGAACATTGACCAAAGAAATTGCTCTATTTACCCAAAGCATTCCATTAGTTTCCGAAAACAAACTAGAAGCTGGTCAACTGTGTCATGTATTGAGTAAACAAGCGAGTAAGTTTGGAAAAGACTCCTACTTCCATGATTTTCTGTTGATTGCAACAATGTTTAATATAAAAAAGTAAAGGCTTCGCACATTGCAAGTGATTGTAAGTAATTCTTCTTCCTGCTCATATGATAAATTTGACAAGTCTTGTGTTTCATGGTCATTTGATGTAAATCCACACAAATAATACTTGTACTTCGTACGTGACGAAGTACGTCATCGCATAGAAAGCTTGCATTTGTCTAATAGATCGACTTATTACTATTGCGTGTGTGAAACGCGTTATTTTGTAGTTAATATTTTTAAGCAACATCTTCCGGAGAGCATGTCTTCAGACGATTGTACGCCGGTTGTAAATAGTTTATGTTTGATCAACGAATGTAGATTAATGCTTTACACATTTGCAGACATATGCAAACGTGTCGACATATATACGTCCGTTTCTGCATTTCTTATTCAAACATACTGCTGTGACTATTCTTCTATAGTCCCCATACTTTGATATAAACTAGAATATATATTTTGATTTTGTAAATTGTAGTG